ATAAGGTTTTTGTGCATACGCGCGTATGCACGGGCCAAATGCTCGTAGGTCGTTAGTGGAAGTTTCGCCCAAAATGGCTCGATCGTCAACGTGTTGAGTAAAAAGCTGTGAAATTTCACAAGATCATCAAGGACGTGTTTTACTTGTGATGCCGCCCTTGTTCTTTGGGGTTCAGAGATTTTGTCGAAGTTTGCAACAGTAGATGAGAAAAGCTTGCTGGTCGCGACGATGCTAGAAAGTGTAAAAAACCGGAGGTTAATCCAAATGCTGCTTTCATCGAAGGCCCGGTTAGCTGAAGTGTGTATCGTCAGTTATCGTCGTATCGTCAATTCGTTGACCGCACGGACTGCTCAAGCTACGGACCACGCGCATCATGGCTAAAATTTTGCAAGAGCGCAATTTGTGTACAATGGCGATTTTGTACTGTGGCAAGCGTTTTACCTCGCGGCCAGTGCTCCGCAATGATGTCTAGTCCGCGAGGTCAACGGACGATAAGTGCTAAAATCATCTACGCTAATTGTGCAGCATCACCTAAATCCGATCTGAGGCCGGCCTTATATCTCCTGCCAATATTATTTGCTGACTAAACATCTGAATTTTAAAATTACAGGAAAAATGTCCATTGGTGGTGCACCTGATTCTTCCGGTGATGCATCAGGCGGAGGGGGCGAAACGCTTACTAAAGCTGAGACAGAAGTTTATGATCGACAAATCCGTCTATGGGGCATGGAAGCACAGAATAAGTATGTAGTTATCTTGCATTTTTATCAAGTTATATTATATTGAATACCCACAGGCTACGAGCTGCCAATGTTCTTCTTTGTGGGTTATCCGGTGTAGGCGCAGAAATATCCAAGAATCTAATGCTTTGCGGTATACATTCGTTGACCTTGGCAGATGACAAGAACGTGGTTCAAGATGATCTCGAATCAAATTTTTTGCTCGAAAGCGACTCCGTGGGCCAAAATGTAAGATTCTGTGCGTTTAGTGAACCATATACATCAAATAACAACATTTTTAAGCGAGCAAGAGCTTCTTCGCACAAAGCGCAAGCCCTGAATCCTATGGTTAAACTTGAGGTCAGTTCATGAGTTAAATCTTTTCTTTTGGTTTCATATTTGATGCCAACGATCGTTTTAGATTTTGGAGACAAGCGTCAGTAACATGACTGTTGATTTTGTTTCCAAGTTCACTCTTGTGGTCCTTTGTGACCAGAAATATCCCGACGTTGTATTTTGGAACGGCAAATGTCACGAACTCAATGTCGGGTATGTCATGTTATAATTAACTTCATAAAAATGTAAAAACAGAACTATAAAATTTTACGATGCATTGCGGTAGACTCATTCTGATGCCTGTTTCTTGCTGCTTTTTTTCTTTTCTAACCTTCACTAATACCATTCTGGGACCTGCAGTTTACAGAAAAGTATATCTTCAAAAGAAAAAAATAATTCCAACAGTCTTTCAAATTCTAGATTCATCGCATGCAGCGTCTTCGGTTGGATGGGCTATTCATTCTTCGATTTCAACAATCATTTTTTCTCGAGGTATGTGCACATGCATCACGGAAGATGTTGTAGACATGAGTATTCCAGTGCCCCAGTGACCAAAAAGGATGCCGTGTGTGATGGCGACGGAGCTGCCAGTTCCAGTTTCCTGAACGCCATCGATGTTGATGCCGAGAATGTAATCGAGAGGAAGGCACGTTAGATTGTTTTCTTTAATCCCAAAATATGGCATTA